TTAGCAACCAGAGCCTAGGAGCAGGTGACCAGTCCCTGGCCATCCCCCAGGAGCAGAGAGACTGCCCCACTAGGTGGCGGGGAGAGGCATGGCGGGGGCCGAGAATGCGGGCTGCTCTGGCCTGGGGGCCTGGGCCGGGCTGCCGACAGAGGAGCCAGTGTGCCCAGACATTGGGGCTTTGTGAGCTCCAGAGCTCGGTGTGGGGATGGTTGTTTTTGTTGACCTGACATTGTTTCGGGTTGACTGAGTGTCAGCGACTTAGCACCCAGGGGCCAGCTCTTTGGAGACAGCTGGGATCTTGGGGAGAGGGTGGCTAGGGTGATCCGGTCTGGCGCAAGGAGGGGAGGGGGCTGCCTGGGCCTTGTGTACACTGAGCAGGTCGCCGTGGGGAAGGCTGCAGAGGAGGAGTGAGTCCTAAGGGCAGATGCAAGGAGAGGAGAGAGGAGAAGGTGCCCTTGCACCTGGGGCCAGAGCAGGAGGGCCTGGCCAGAGTGGAGGATGGAGAGAGGCAGCACAGGGACCTCTTGAAGCTGGTGCCTTCCTGCTGGGAGCTGGGAGCCCTGAGAACCCAGCCATCAAACCTTCATCCACGAACGAAGACCCAGGAAAACCCTAGGGGGCCTTGGGGGCTGGCCAGGCCAGGGTGGGGTGTGCCAGACTCACAGCTGTCCAGATGTGGGTGAGAGATAACTGTGTTTACTGGGCACCCGGTGGGAGCGGAGCAGGGGGTGGGAAGGGGCTCCCAGTCCCATGGGGCGGGCAGATAGGAGGCGGGAGCATGAGTCAGGGGTTTGCAAGCTGCCCCCGGGCACTGGTGCTGTCAGAGCGGGTGTGAGCTCAGCTGGTCGCAGAGGGCACCTGTGTCTGCAGGACTGCGCCGAGGGACCCTGAGACTCGAAAGCAGGTGAGCAGGGCAGAGAGGGCCTGCAGGTGGTCCTTTGGCGCCTGCCCTGAGGATTTCTGCAGGTGCCTAGCCTGAATCTCTGCTCAGGTGGGCACCGCCGACCTCCAAGGGGGTGCAGGTGGGTGGGGCGAGAATGTTACCGTGTGTGTGTTGCCCCAAAAGGGCACAGGCCCATTGGTAGCTACAGCTGGGAAGAGTAGGGTGGCCAGTGGCTCATAGCAGCAGAGACGCACGGCTGGTGTGTGTGAGGAGGCCAATCCGCTCCCCTCCAGGGGTGGTGGGTCTTTGTCAGCTTGGATTCCGCTCACCCACCTGAGACCCCTTTTTCCTTGGCGATGGGGGGTCCCCAGGCCACCTTATCTCCCACCTAGGAGGCAAGATGTGAGCTGACACTGCTTCCCATCTGGGACAATTCCAGGGGTCTACCTGGGGGACCTGGGGAGTGTTTGGAGGGAAATGTGGAGTCTCCCACCACCTGAGGATCTTAAAACACTTAGCCCAGGCTAATTCCATGGGAACCGAAGGCAAATCCGAAGGGGATGAAGATAGCAAGTCTGACCTTGACCCCAGTGGCAGGGACAATGGCAGCAAACATTTACATAGAGCTCTTTATGTTTTATGTGCCTCATATATATGAACTTCCTTAATGCTCACAGCAGGTCTATGAGGGAGGTATTATTCTGATCACCCCCATTTAACAGATGAGAAAATCGAGGCACGGAGAGTTTGAGTCACTTGCCCAAGGTCGCAGTTAGTAAATGGCGGGGCTGGGGTTTGAACCCAGGCAGACTGAATGCAGAGTCCATGCTAGTTAACCACTAACTCCAAGCCACTAGTAGTTGGTTTCTTTTCTGGGAGGCAATTCCCCGTAGCACTTACAGACGCGGCTGGAGTCAGGTTGGCCGGGGTTTAGTCCTGCCTCTGCTGCCTACTCGCTGGGCGACTGAAGCAGGTAAACGTCTATGAACCTCAGCTTTCGAGTCTGTAAAACGGGCTAATGGCATTACCCACTTCACAGCATGTTTGGGGACTGTAAGAGATAAGGCAGTATAGCTTTCTGTACAGTGTGGGGTGATTACACAGGGGTGGAGCTGTCCCTGTCATCTGGTCACTCCCCAGCCTCTCCCTGGCTGTGCCCCACCTCCTGGGCTCCAGATGTCACACTTACCTTATCTGGCCGAGCACTGGCTGGCTGGCTGGCCAGGTGTTTGGTGTGCTTCCATAGGGCAGCCATCGGGGTCCTGGCCCTTATCAGTGCCAGGCAGAACAGGCCTGCAGCTGGGGGGCGGCTGGGCTTGGGGAGCAGCAATCTGAGTCATGGGCATACCCTGTACGGCCCTAGCTGAACTCAAGGCACCTCCGTTTTGTCCTCCTCTCTCTCACTGAGGTCTGAGAACCCCAGTGGGAAGGCCCTCCCATTTTACAGATGGAGTGACTGAGGCCTAGAGGCTGAGAGCTGCCCATGGCCATGTGGCCAGCCAGTGGCAGAGGGGCAGCCTGGATCTCTGCATTCTCTAGCTCTGGAGGGCCCCTCTGACCATCCCAGTCCCCCAGATGGGAAACAAAGGCCACAGCCCTAGCCCCCTGGGTGGGACTTTCAGCACCTGAGACTTAGACACCCTTGAGGCCACTTAGGATCAGAGGCCCAGGAGGGCGCATGGGCAAGTGCAGAGAAGCAGGAAAGAGAATAAAGGTGGGAGGAGGGAGGGAGGAGAGGAGGAAAAGAGAAAGATGTGTGGCCAGAGTCCCCAAGGGGAAAAGCTCTGCAGTAGGGATGGCCCCATCCTTAGGTTCTGGGACCCTCTCCTGGCTGTCATTTGCCCTGCCCCTCAAGGCAGAGACCCTTCCTTTTTCCAGTCTGGTGGGGCTCAGTCATGCTCCTCTTCCTGTCCCCAGGACTGCAGGACCACCCATTCCTCAGAAAGAAGGTCTCTGCCCCACCTTTCTGCATGTGCTCTCTGCCCTCAGCACGGGCACCCAGCCCTGCCCTGCACGGCCCACCTGTGCGTCCAGGCCCGCTCCAGCCCATCCCTGCCCCGCCAGTGGGTCCTGCTCTTCCTCCTGCCACACAGGTCCTCGGCATTCAGCACATTCGGCCTTGTAACTTGTGTTTGTTTGGGGAACATGTCACTTCTGGGGGCACCCCGGCTGCTCCAGCTTCCTGGGCTGGGAACTTCCTGAGAGGAGGATCGTGCTTTGTTCAACTCAGCACTCTGGCATGTTTTTTCAACCCTACCCAAGTCCCTGTCACCACGATGCCCTGTGCTGCAGGCAGGGAGGGAGGAAAGGAGGCCCCCGTCCCCAGTCTGGGGCCACCTTAGAGACCCCTGTCTCCCCTTGGGCCTGTCCTTGCATTCCTGGGGCAGGCACACCTTTCTCTCTGCTAGAGACATGCCTAAGAAAACTGAGGCCCAGGGCTCAGTGGCCTTCTGGCTGGGTCCTGATCACCCTGTCTCCCCAGTCCCAGAGCCCAGGTCTGCAATTGGGAGTCCTTAGGGAGCCATTCTTATAGTCATTCCACAAATATTTATTGAGCACCTACTATGTGGCAACCACTTTGCTGGAAGCAGGGGATTCCGTGGGGACTGAGAGCTTCAGGGTCTTTGCGCTCATGTGGCCTCCCTTCCAGAGGCGATGTCAGACAGTGAGTATGCAAGTCAATCACCAGAAAATGCCAGTCTGGGTCAGTGAGAGTTACGGTGGTCAGGGAGGGCCTCACTCAGCCTGTGCCCCTCTTCTGCAGGGACCCACGGTGTGGGTTATGCTTGGGGCTTGGATCGCCGTGGACAACTGGACACTCAAGGCAGCACCATGGCGGCTTTGCAGGTGGGTCTTTCCTGGCATCTGCAGTGCTCCTACCTGGAGGCTCTGGGGACCTGGCCCTGGCCTCCTACCTTTACGGGGGCTTGGAGAGCCCCTCACAGCCCAGCCTTGATGGCCACTTCCCACAGGAGGATTACGAAGAGGGGCTGGAGGATATGATGGAGCTGGGGGAATATGAAGAACCAAGCATCTCTGCGCCCCAAGAGGCGCCCCAAGAGGCGGAGCCAGCAGGTGAGCCCCATCTCCCTCCCTCTGCTGGGATGAGCTGCTGAGCCCTGGACAGGGTCACAGGGGAACATGTCCTCTCCCCTTCTCCACAACACCCCCCTCCCTGCCCCGCAGCCCCTTGGCCGGTTCTCCCCACAATTCTGGCTGATTGAAGGATAAACAGCGTTTTGTTTAAAATGATCACAGGAGGTGACTGGGCGGGAGCAGGGCAGTCACCCATCGCAGTGCCCCTTCCATGTGCGAGAGGGCAGCCGGGCCCATCTGGGACGGGGCGTGAGCCCACATGCCACCCGTGCCCACCCAATGCCAGCTTCCAGGCTAGTCACTGGGCCTGCTCTTGGGGGCCAGAGGTCCTGAGGAATGAGGGGCCGTGGGGACTCCCCTGGGCAGAAAGGCATCAGGAACAGGCACCACCTTCCTTGGCCTGTCCAAGGTCTTAGGTGGGGAGCCCCAGGCAGGGACCTGTTTACTGTCAACAGGACTTAAGTGCTGGTGATTGGTATTGAAGTTAAGAGGCCCCTCTGGGAAATGAGGACTGGGGGTTGGGGGGGAATATAAGGGGCTGCCCCCACCCTGGTGCCCGAGCTCAGCTTGGAGGCGGTGAGAAGCTGGCGGGCTGGCCGGCTTGTTGAGGCTTGTGGGCAGGTGTGACGAGGGAAGGGGGTCTGGCCCCAGAGGTGGCAAGGGAAGGAGGCATCTCTAGGAGGCTCCTGAAAATTGCCATTCAGGACTTACAGTCACCGCGGACAGGTCCCTTCCCTTCATCACTGAAGGCCTCCCGAGCTGCATCTCAGGGGTCCTCAACGAGGCCCAGGTGGGGGGTGCAAGGCTCAACTAGGGGGTGCCAGGCTGGGCCTAGGACAGGTGTGGGAAGCCCGGTCCCACTGGGGTGCCAGGGGCCCAGCCCACAACCAGCGGGAGGGAGTGGGGCAGCCGCCACGCCTGGGCCTCTGGGGCTCAGAGTGGACGGTTGCAGAAGGGCCTCAAGGGGCATTGTTGGGGGTGACCCTAACCGGCCGCTGGGTTTTCAGTTGACCTCACTGAGCGGACGGCCCCAGACTACGCCACCACATCGCAGCCGGGCACGCACGAGGTGAGGACCCCAGGCTGCCCAATTCTCTCTCCCACGCCGCCTCTGGGACCCACCATCCCACCAGGGGAAGGGAGGAGCAAAGGGGCAGAGGCAGCTTCAGGCTGGGGGAGACCCCACGAACGGGCAAAGAAAGAGTGGGGGTCCCAGGAAACAGGTGGGGGGGAAGAGGACACCCCACTGACAGGGAGACGTGGGCCCCCGGGGGAGGTCCCTGGGCAGAGATAACCGACTGCTGAGGGCTGAGTCGCAGGCCCCCGGGCCCTGGCTGGGCTGTCAGGTGCTCATGGGGGAAGCACAGAGTTCCATACACGCTCTCCTCTGCCCGGCCCCCCAGATCCCTGCTGGGCGCCAGCCTGTCTAGCTGGTTAGGAATTTGGGCTGGCCCTCAGTTATGGCCCTGGGAGTGGCCACCTGGCCCCAAGACATGCTGAGACACACATCCACTCAAAGATCCTGGAGCCAGGAGACTGACCCGATGACTCTCCTGGCCCCTCTAGCCTCGGCCACCAGGCCCGAGCTTCCCACGCCTTTCCCCGCCGCAGTGGCCACTGCAGCACCCCTTTTGGTCCAGAGGTTCTCCAAATGCCTTCTGAAAAGGGGTTGAGGGCCTGCTCAGGAGGTTGGGACCCTTGAGCTTCTCCAATGCTCTGAGCTCAAGGTCTGCCCCTGGCCCTCCAGGGCCCTGGGCCTCTTACAAGCCCCTCTCCAGGGCTGCTGATGCCCACTGTGCCCTGGGCCCTGCCCGGGGACTAACTCCGGCCTGTGGGGCCGCAGGTCTACGTGGAGCTGCAGGAGCTGGTGATGGACAGGAAGAACCAGGAGCTGCGATGGATGGAGGTGGCACACTGGATGCGACTGGAGGAGAACCTGGGTGAGGACGGGGCCTGGGGCCGCCCGCACCTGTCTTACCTCACCTTCTGGAGCCTCCTGGAGCTGCAGAGAGTCTTTGCCAAGGGTGAGTCCCCCGGGCCCCTCTGGGACCCCTGCGTGTGAGCTTTGTTGGCGGAGGCTGTGGTCCCGCCGCCCCGCTAACCCCTCCACTGCCTGCAGGTACTGTCCTCCTGGACCTGCCGGAGACCTCTCTGGCCGGAGTGGCCAACCACCTGCTGGACAGGTTTATCTTCGAGGACCAGATCCGGCCTCAGGACCGAGAGGGGCTGCTCCGGACCCTGCTGCTCAAACACAGGTGCCCCTGCCTGCCAGGGCCTGAATTCCACACCCAGAGGGCCCACCCTACAGCCCACCTGGCCCAAAGTCTCCCCTACAGTCCAGCTGGCCCATCAGGCAGGGGTCCACTTTTCCTCCACTACGGATCCCACCTCTGACACCTCGGAAGGGGTGGCCATGTTTCATGCTCAGAGTCAGGAGCCGCTGGTCCCCAGGAAGGCAGACCTACGAGGCCCTTTCCTCCATCCACTCTTGATCCTACCTAGTTGTTCCAGAAAGAGGCCACCCACTTACATCCACAACATCCTTTGAGCAGAGGCTCTGATTCTGCCACCCCAGGGTCACTCTGGTCTGGTCTGGGAAGTCTCACTTGATGTCCACCCTTGATCCCTCACACCACTGATAGCCCAGCCTGAACAGCTTGCTCAGCCCATGTCCCCTGTATGTCCTTCAGCCACGCCAGAGACCTAGAGGACCTCGGGGGTGTGAAGCCTGTGGTCCTGGAACGCTCTGGGGACGCATCGCAGCCACTGCTCCTGCAACAACCCTCGCTGGAGACGCAGCTCTTCTGCCAGCAGGTGAGGCAGGGGTGTGTAGGGAGAGCCAGAAAGCCTCCAGCCTGAACGTGCTTAGAAGTGAGAATGGGAAGGGGAGGAGGGGGCTGGATGCTCAGGTCTCCCGGGTCCAGAGTGGCCTGGGGACTCCCCTCACCACCCTCCTTCCCACAGGGAGAGGGGGGCCCTGGAGGGCACTCGCCATCTGAAATTCTGAAAGAGATTCCCCAGGATGCAGAGGCCACCCTGGTGCTCGTGGGTAAGAGCTGGTGTCTCTACCCCTCAGCCCTCCACACACCCCGCTTCTGCCACATGTTCTGGCCTAGCCCACCCTTCCTTGAGCCTGGACCCCCGTGGCTCCTCTCTGAGGGACACCGCCCCCAGACCCCCTCAGCCTGGCCTGACCCCCTCGTCCCCCCGCCACAGGCCGCGCCGCCTTCCTGGAGCGGCCAGTACTGGGCTTCGTGCGGCTGCAGGAGGCCACGCCGCTGGAAGAGGCCGTACAGCCGCCGGTGCCTGTTCGCTTCCTCTTTGTGTTGCTGGGACCCGAGGCGCCCCACATTGACTACACCCAGCTCGGCCGGGCTGCTGCCACCCTCATGTCAGAGAGGGTGAGGAGGGGCCGCGAGGGCTTGGGAGAGCCCAGGAGCTGGGTGGTGGTTGAGACCCATTCTCCACCCTGGACCAGCCTGGGTCACCTTAGGTTCACTAGTCTAACCCATTCAGTCTAATTCAGCTGCTTCTGTCCCACCTGGCCAGGGGCAGCCCAGGTATGCGTTGTCTGGCCTCCGCTGCCCGAGTGGCCTGGTTCAGTCTGGTTGGCTCTGGCCTGGCTGCTCTAGTCTGGCCCACTCTGACCTGGTTCTATCTGCTTAGGTCTGGCTTGGTCTGGCCTAGTCGTTCTAGTTCTAGTGGTCTGCCTGACCCACCTGGTTAGCTTTAGCTCCTTCTTTCCCCACCCAGGGCCCCCGTCTGTCTCCCCAGAGCCCTTTCTTAGTGGGGAGCAGGGTGGGAGAGGGGCAGGAAACCCAGTGCCCAGCAATGGGAGCTGGACGAGAGGGTTCTGCTCCCAGGAGGCCCTGGTTGTGGACGCCTGGGTCCTTCCGCTGAGCGGGTCCAGGCAGCCTGACCCTCTCTCCTGCCGCCAGGTGTTCCGCACACATGCCTACCTGGCCCAGAGCCGGGGGGAGCTGGTGGACTCCCTGGAGGGCTTTCTGGACAGCAGCCTGGTGCTGCCCCCCACGGACATGCCCCCCAAGCAGGCCCTGCTGAATCTGGTGCCCGTGCAGCAGGCGCTGCTCCGGAAGCGCTACCTACCCAGCCCTGCCAAGCCAGATCCCGGCTTCTATAAGGGCCTAGGTAGGTACCTGCCCTGCCCAGCCAAGGCTCTCTGACCCCACAGACCCTCAGACACCCAGCACAGCCTCCACCTTCCCACCAAGTGCCCCTCTATCGCCACCCCCTGTGCCCACACCTGCCAGCCTCCTTGGCCACCTATTCCCATCAGACAATCCCCCTCGCCCCCTCCACTCCCCTCTCCCATGCCTCCCCCTGCTGCCCTCCCTGACCATGCTCTTGTCCTCCACCACAGGCTTGGCTGAGGACTCAGGGGGCCCTGAAGGCCCAGATGACCCCCTGCAGCGGACAGGCCGGCTCTTCGGGGGCCTGGTGCGTGACATCCGGCGCCGCTACCCCCATTACCTGAGTGACATCACAGACGCACTGAGCCCCCAGGTCCTGGCTGCTGTCATCTTCATCTACTTTGCTGCCCTGTCACCCGCCATCACCTTCGGTGGCCTCTTGGGTCAGTGCCAACACCTGTCCCCCTAACGCTCACTTTTGACCCTCTGGCTTCTGCCTCGGGCCCAGACTTCTGACCTTTGGACCCCTGCAACAGCCTACCCAGGACTTGCTCTACTAGCCCCCGGAAATGATCTCCTGACCTTGACCCCACTGTGATCTCCACCCGCAGGAGAGAAGACCAGGAACCAGATGGGGGTGTCGGAACTGCTCATCTCGACTGCGGTGCAGGGCATTCTCTTCGCCATGCTGGGGGCTCAGCCCCTGCTCGTGGTTGGCTTCTCGGGCCCCCTGCTGGTGTTCGAAGAAGCTTTCTTCTCGGTAGCTGTGGCCTGGGCCCCCTCTGACCCTGACCCTGTAACCAACCCCCGGCTCCACCTGCGTGGCGCCTGAGGCCCTGACTGACCTGACTCCCTCTGCCTTCCCCGCAGTTCTGCGAGAGCAACGGCCTGGAGTACATCGTGGGCCGTGCCTGGATTGGCTTCTGGCTCATCCTGCTGGTGGTGCTGGTGGTGGCCTTCGAGGGCAGCTTCCTGGTCCGCTTCATCTCCCGCTATACCCAGGAGATCTTTTCCATCCTCATCTCCCTCATCTTCATCTATGAGACCTTCTCCAAGCTGATCAAGGTGGGGGCCATGGGGATGTGAGTGCACGTGTGAGACTATGTGTGAGACCATGTGACTGTGCGTGTCCTTGCACACGTCTGTACGGCATTTGTGTGGCCTTGTGTCCACCTGTGCGTATAACCGTGTGTCTGTGTGTTGTCACACGTCTGCATGCGAGACTGTGCCACTGTGTTGACTGTGTTGTATGTGTCAACACCTGCTGCCTGCGGCCCAGGATCCTTGCCCTGACTGCGCAGAGTGACTGTGCGTGGGAGGCGCCTGTGCGCACACGGCCAGTTCGTGACCACACACGATGTGACTAGCGGGCAAGCGTGTGTGAGACTGGGCACTGCGCGGTGCATGCACAGAGAGGGCGGTGGGGGCTCTTCAGGCTCTGAGGTCCCTCACTCCCTCTCCTGCACTTGTCCTCAAGAACCGCAGGGCCTGCGGACCGAGGGCCCTGCCCCCTTAGCTTATGTCTTGTCATCTTAAGCTGTGCTTGCCTCGGTGTCTGCCTTTCCTATGGAGGAAGGCTGGAACGCTGTATGTCTTCCATGATTTTGTTGGTGATGGGGCTTTCTGTGTCCAGATCTCTTAAGATCTTTTTAGAAACCTCCCTGGCAATCATTTCCTGTCCTCCAGCCATCTCTCGTCTCCCAGGCCCTGGTGTGAGTGTACACACACACACTCTCATTGCCTCTGTGGGCCACCCCACCCAAGTCTAGCCTGGTCTTCACGCCTGAAAACCACACTGTAGAATCCCACTGCTCCTCTGTTACCATGTCAGTTGAGGAAGATGGATGGATGGATGATGGGTGGATGGGTGCATGATGGATGGATGAATGAATGGATGGATGATGGTTGGATGGATGATGGTTGGACGAGTGGACGGTGGATGGCGGGGACGGCAGAGCTGGGTAGATTTAGCTGATACTTTCCAGCCCAAGCCAAGGCTGGGAGGGAACAGGATCCCTGGGTTTTCTGCTTCAGATTTTCCAGGACCACCCACTGCAGAGGAAATATAACTCCAATGTGCCGATGATGCCCAAACCTCAGGGCCCCCTGCCCAACACAGCCCTCCTCTCCCTTGTGCTCATGGCCAGCACCTTCTTCTTTGCCATGATGCTGCGCAAGTTCAAGAACAGCTCCTACTTCCCTGGCAAGGTCGGCACACCCTCCCTACCCATCCTTGCCTACACTGCCTTATCTCAGCCCAAATCCCTCCAGCTTTCCCACTGCCTTCAGTTCCCCTTCTTTCCCCAGATCTCCATTCCCAATCCCAAGCCTCCCTGGCCCCCTCCCTACACGGGGTTTCACTCTGCATGCCAGGCTGTCTCCCTTCCTTGGCATGCCCAGGCTGAGAACCCAGCGGGGAATGAAGGACAGTTCTTGGGAGGAGTGGAGAAGCTGTGGGGCCAGGGCTGGGGTTGGGCCAGGGGAAGAAGAAAGGAGGCAGGTGTAGTCGAGGTGCAGGGCAGGGCATTGGATGCTGATGTGTCCCGCGGGAAGAACAGGGCCCCTGGGTGAATGTGGGGCAATGGGGAGGAGGGGAAGGCAGGAGGTGGGAAGAAACGACTGACCACTGGTCCCTTTGCTTCCCTCCAGCTGCGTCGAGTCATTGGGGACTTCGGGGTCCCTATCTCCATCCTGATCATGGTTCTGGTGGATTTCTTCATTGAGCATACCTACACCCAGGTGAGCCCTCCTCCCACCGCTCACACCCACGACAGCCCCCAGGTCCTCATTTCCTTCCCCCAGCATACCCCCTCCCCAGAACAGCTTTCTCCAACCTGAAGCCAGCTAGGATACCTCTACCCCGTCCCTGCCTCCCTGAGAGCCCTATGTTCTTCTCACAGCCCCATGGGACCCCTCTGGCCAAAGCAAGGGGTTGGGTCAGTTGCCCCCTTTGTTCCTTAAACTAGAGTAGTAAAAAAATGTCTGCTTTGGAGCCAGACAGATTTGGGCATGAATATCAGCTCTGCCACCAAACAGCTGTGCGATGTGGGGCAAGCTGCATAACCTCTCTGATCTGGTTTCTTCATCCATAAAGTTGGGAATGCGCAGACGGTGTAAAGGGATTAGTGCAGTGACTGGGTTCAGAGCAGGTGCTCAACAAGTGCCCCCCACCCAACCCCCTGATGCCTGGGATCCTGGCTCCCCCTGCCCCTGATGTTCTCACCGGCTGCTCCCCTCCCACAGAAACTCTCAGTGCCCGACGGCCTCCAGGTGTCCAACTCCTCCGCCCGGGGCTGGGTCATCCACCCCCTGGGCTTGTTTTCTCCCTTCCCCATCTGGATGATGTTCGCCTCCGCCCTGCCTGCCCTGCTGGTCTTCATCCTCATATTCCTGGAGTCCCAGATCACCACGTGAGAGACAGAGCGGGGGCCTGGGCCTGGAGGGTCAGAGGCAGGGAACGGGGAGGCTCCAGGCCAGAAAAGATGAGCACTGCATGCTAGTCTCATGGGGCATGCGGCCTCCCTGCCTAGCAGGAGTGTTGAGTGCTCAGGGGCAGGTCCGTTTGTGGGACCTGAAGTTGTATAACTTGGAGAGCTCTTTTTAAGAAAAAGGATGCAAAATGAGGCTGGGCGTAGCTCATGCCAGTAATCCCAGCACTTTAGGAGGCCAAGATGGGAGGATTGCTTGAGCCTAGGAGTTCAAGACCAACATGGTCAATATAGAGAAACCTCATCTCCACAAAAAATTTAAAAATTAGGCAGGCGTGGCGGCACATGCCTATGGTCCCAGCTACTCGGGAGGCTGAGGCAGGAGGATCACTTGAGCCTAGGAATTTGAGGTTACAGTGAACTATGATCACGCCACTGCACTCCAGCCTGGGTCACAAAGCAAGACCCTGTCTCAAAAGAAAACAAAGCAAGGCCGGGTGTGGTGGCTCACACCTGTAATCCTAGCACTCTGGGAGGCCGAGGCGGATGGATCGTTTGAGCTCAGGAGTTTGAGACCAGCCTGAACAAGAGCGAGACCCTGTCTCTACTAAAAATAGAAAGAAATTAGCTGGACAACTAAAAATATATAGAAAAAATTAGCCGGGCATGGTGGCGCATGCCTGTAGTCCCAGCTACTCGGGAGGCTGAGGCAGGAGGATCGCTTGAGCCCAGGAGTTTGAGGTTGCTGTGAGCTAGGCTGACACCATGGCACTCTAGCCCAGGCAACAAAGTAAGACTCTGTCTCAAAAAAAAAAAAAAAGTTAAAAAAAAAAAAAAGAAAACAAAGCAAAACAAAAAAGGAATGCAAAACGAAAAGTATAAAATTAGGAGCGGGGTCTTGAAAGGGGCAGAAGCGAAGGCCCTGGAGCTTAAGCTGCGTGAGCCTGTGACTCGGGCTGTGACGCTCTGCAGACATTCGTGCTCTTAGAGTCTGCTTTCTCATGCCGGGCGGGAGGGCGGGCAGCAAGGACTCACAGAGGGAAGGGCACAGAAGACAGAACCAAGGTTTGAGGCACCCAAGTGTAGAGAAGGAAGGAGGAGGCAGAAGGGTGAGGTGGGGGAGAGCCCGGCTGACCTCTGACCTCCCCCTTCCCCCAGGCTGATAATCAGCAAACCTGAGCGCAAGCTGGTCAAGGGCTCTGGCTTCCACATGGACCTGCTGCTGGTTGTGGGCATGGGCGGGGTGGCCGCCCTCTTTGGGATGCCCTGGCTCAGCGCCACCACGGTGCGTACTGTCACCCACGCCAACGCCCTTACCGTCATGGGCAAGGGCAGCACCCCAGGGGCTGCAGCCCAGATCCAGGAGGTCAAGGAGCAACGGATCAGCGGGCTCCTGGTCTCTGTGCTTGTGGGTGAGCGAGAGCTACCTTCCCTCTCCATCCTCCTGCCCCGCCCACACCCCCACCCTGCCCTTAGGATCCAGTGCCCACGCAGCCCTGCCCATGCTGCAGCCGGGTCCCCACACACCCACTGCCCACATCTCCCTGGCGTCTGCAAGGCGCTGGGATGGGCGTCTGAACAGGGAGGAAGGGGGTCCTCCACTCCTGGGGCTGTCTCTAGACCAGACCCTGCCTTCTGAGCTTGTCTGACAGAAGTTCAATGGACTGTGGGTTCCAGCCTGCCCTGCTGCTAACTCGGCATCCCTCCTTGTCTCTGGGTCTCAGTTTCCCTGTCTGTATGGTTATAGGAGTCATTAGATATCCTCAGTTCTCTTACGGCTCAGCATGGCTGATGCAAGGGGCGATGCTCCAGGCACAGTCCCGGGGTGCGGGGCAGAAGACAGAGGGTCACTGGGGTTGATCCCTGCTCTGGAGCAGCCAAGAGTCCAGCCGGGCTCAGGGTGGGCAGTGCCATGGTCGCTGATGGAGGGCTGGGGAAGTTTCCCAAAAGAGGTAAAGTTGACTTGGAGGAGGGTTAAGATTTGGAGGGTGATGAAGGCGTTCTGGGCTGGCATGAGGGGAAGGGTGTTTCTCTGAGCTCTGTGACCCCCACTAGGTTAAGGGAGTGGGCTTAAGTCAGGTAGGCAGGAGTTTGACTCCCTGCTAGCTGTGTGGCCTTAGGTGGGTTGTTCACCTCTCTGAGCCTGTTTCCTCATCTGTAAAATGGGGGTAATGCCTATTAACAGGGCCCATAGAAAAGGCTCCATATGGCACCTATTGTTTCATTCCCAGCCCCAGACAGGGGCCTGGCCCCGCTGGTGCAGGGCCACTGGGCGCCTGGGGATGAGAGTGTGCGTGGCTCCCCCCGCAGGCCTGTCCATCCTCATGGAGCCCATCCTGTCGCGCATACCCCTGGCTGTGCTGTTTGGCATCTTCCTCTACATGGGTGTCACATCCCTCAGCGGCATCCAGCTCTTTGACCGCATCTTGCTTCTGCTCAAGCCATCCAAGTACCACCCAGATGTGCCCTACGTCAAGCGGGTACACGGCCCTCTTGACTGCCCAGCCGGGCTGGGGCTAGGGTTGGAGTGGGTGGGTGCTGGGGTGGGCAGGCACTGACCCCAGCCTCCACCTGCAGGTGGAGACCTGGCGCATGCACCTGTTCACGGGCATCCAGATCATCTGCCTGGCGGTGCTGTGGGCCGTGAAGTCCACACCCGCTTCGCTTGCCCTGCCCTTCGCCATCATCCTCACTGTGCCCCTGCGACGCTTCCTGCTGCCACTTATCTTCAAGAATCTGGAGCTGCAGTGTGTAAGTGGCTGCCTGGGGCTGCGGCACAGGAGCTGGGATAATGTGCGGGATGCGTCTCGGAACCAGGGCAGGCGGGACAGCATCATGGGTACAGTCCAGGTCTGGGGCTCGCGTCTGGGTCCCGGCCTGCCACGTCCTAGCGTATGGTCCAGAACAAGTGGCCTCACCTCTCGGCAGCTCCGTTTTGCTCGCCTGTAAAGCGAGGAATGATGACAGGGCTGGAGAAAGCGTTAAGAGGCACACAGGATGTGCCCCACGGGAGCTGTCCCTACCCCTGAGTGGCTAGCCCTGTGGTCTTCCAAATCATTTGGGACAGAGTCGCTCCTCTAATAGAATTCTTCCAGATATGACACAGGTCACTGTGGGGATGCCCTGGTGACGGGGTCCCCCGCTCACCCTCCGCGGGCCTGCCCCTGCTGGGGTACCAGATCCCCAAGGGCCCCTCCCCCTTTGACAGCCATTCATCCAGACCAATCCTAGAGGCTAGGGGGACAGAACAAGACTTGTCCGAGGTTCAAAGAGAATAAACCCTCTCCCACATCCAGAGGTGCCTCTAAGCACCCAGGGAGGGCTCATCTGGCCCCCAGGCCTCTCACCCGTTCTCCTTCCTGCCCCCTGCAGCTGGACGCAGATGATGTCAAGGTGACCTTTGACGAGGAGGAAGGTCTGGATGAATATGACCAAGTGCCTATGCCCGTGTGAGGGGCAGGCCCAGGCCCCAGACCCCCTATTCTGCTTCCGCACCCTCCCAGGAGAAGCTGAAGTTCATGGGCATCTCATGGACTCCAGGCCCCTGCTGGGGCAGCAGCTGAGGCCCCAGGGCTGTGGGTGGGAAGGAAGGGGTGTCCAGGAAACCTTCCGCAAAGGGCAGACTGGCTTTCCTGGCTGGAGATGGCTGACAGGACCCACATTAGGGGATCTGCTCCATTGTCCCTCCTGTTGCCACACTGCCACGGGGGTCCCCTGCTGGATGACTTAGATCTGACCCCCACCTCTTCATGGCACAGACAGGGGCAGAAGCAAAGGTGGGAGGTAGGGGTGGTGGTGCTTGTTGTGTGACCTTGGGCAAGTCCCCTGACCTTTCCAGCCTCTGCTTCCTCTTCTGTAAAACGGGCATATTGATAGTAATGCCCGCGTTACAGGATGGTAGTCATCATTCTTCTTTGACTGCCCAAGGTCACACAGCCCCTGAGCAGCGCAGCTGGAATTTGAACCAGGCCTTCTGACTCTGAGGCCAGAGCTCTGTCCTCTGCTAGTCACCCGCCTTCCCTTCCCAGAAGTGGCCCTGCTGACTCCTCCCTCCCCCACTGCTCCCAACCCCTACCTCAAGACCCCCTTTTCTGGTGCCAGAGAGAGGTGTCGGGGAGGGATAGGTGGGGGTGAGGATCCAAATGGGCTGGGACTCAGGGCTCCTAAGTGCCTGCTCCTTCCCTCCAAGCGCTCATTAATTCACTCATTCATTCATTCCACAAACATTGACTGAGGGCCCTGGACCCTGTGGACACAGAGGGGACTGAGACAAGACCCTGACCTGGGGTGGGGGTGGGGGCAAGGCACAGTGTGTTCTAGATTTAGATGGGGGGTGGGAGGAGGGCAGGAAGGCAGGGCTGAGACAGGGAGGGGGAGGGGGGAGGTTTGTATTCATAATTTATTGTGTCTTTTCTGAGAGCTTTCTTCATACTCTGGCTTCGCACACACACACCCAGGCCCCCATTTGAGACTCAGTGTCCCTGACCCCATCTAAACTGAATCTTGGGGAGAACCCAAATTTGACCAACGGGGGTTGGAGACAGTGGGCTCTCCAGAACATGGGCGCATCTATTTTTTTATAAAACAAAAATATAAAAAGAGTTGAAAGAACTGGAAGTGGTGAGACAAGGCAGGGGGGAAATGAGAATCAGGGAGTGACAGAAAAGAGGGGAGGCTGTGGGCTCCAGCAACTGGGGAGCCACAGACTCCTAGTGTGAGGGGGTGCCAGCCCGCCATGGGGTGTCACTGTTAGTAACTCCCCAACTAGCTCAGTCAATGGAAGGCTCCCGGGGGAATTCCTGAAAGCTGACACCCACCTCCCACCACTTCACCATTCTATGCCTCAGTTTCCTCATCTGTGAAATGGAAACGATAATGGTACCTACCTTGTAGGGTTCTTATAAGGACTAAGTGAGACAGTGCAAGTCAAGCCCCAGCTTGCGCTGAGCCTGCCTCAGAGGGAGAGCTGCTGGTACTGTTATTCTGATTGCAATAACAACATATACACACACACACACACACACACACACACACACACACACCCCCTGCTCCTTGAACATTGCTAAGAATGAAAAAAAAAATCCCCCACTCTGCTAGTGCCCTTCCCCTCCACACTTGGGAACAGGTTTTGCCAATAAACATGTCTGTGTTGGTGTGTTGGAGCGGCTGCCTTGTTTGAATTCCCCTTCCCAGAGTTGGGGGCCCAGGGGTCTTGGCTGGACTAGGTGGACATGCTGTGCCTGGTGTGGGGCAGGTGGAGGGTTGCAGCCAGGTAGCAAGGACAGCCAGGCTGGGGGTGGCCCTGAGCCCTAGGTGCAGGGGCCCGCACCCAGAGACTGGGCAAGGGAGTGTGCTGGGAATCCCTCCTCTTCTGAATAAGCAAGACCTATGGGGGTGGGTAGGGGCTGTAAGGGGACCTTGCCCCCTTCCCCCAGTGCCTGTGGACCCCCAAGTCCCTTTGAACCAGTCAGCCCCTTATCCTGAATTAACAGCTGGACAGCACCTTTGACAGAGATCACCAAAGAAGAAAACAAGAGGCCCAGAGAGGGAACGTGGTTTGCCATAGGTCACACAGGAACAGCGTCTCTTGATCAGCTTTCCACTTGCCCTCACCCTGATCCCCACTGGAGGCTCTGCCCTCCTCATGCCCCCACCCACTTCCAGCAATTCTAGGGAGTTGCTGCACCAGGTGTCACCCACCCCCAGGGGAGTGTGCTAGGACTAGATGTAATCCCAGCCCTCCCAAGGCCTTCAGCGAGAGGTCAGCCCCGGGTTGGGCCACCCAGCTTCCTTCCCTGGGTCTATATTTACTCGCTGCCTATCCCCAGCTGACCCATCCCAGGCCGAGGCAGCGGCCAGAGTGCGGGAGGGAGAGATACCTCTGCCCCAGGGAGAGCAGGCCCAGCGTCAGCCTCCCACACACAGCTCCACCTCCCACACACAGCAGCTTCGGGTCCCCACAGTGCTGGCCCTGTCCCCAGGGCTTGCCAGGCCCCATTCCTGTCTCCACGTACCCAGAAGCAGAGCTATGAGACAGGCCTACAGAGGGCTGAGGCTGAGGGTATTCCTACCCACCTCCCACAGACAGGCTGGGCGGCCCTGGGCAAGCAAGTCCCCTCTCTGGGCCTCAGTTTTCTGCTGGGCCCACTCTTTCTTGCAGATCCTTCCCATCTGCCGAGGGAGGAACCGGCTCATCACATCCGGACTTAGGGAACAATGCTGCCTCAATTCGGGAGACTGCTTTCTCCCCCTGCCAAGGCTTAAGCCCCTTCTCCAAGTTTTTATCTCAATTCTGAGACAGTACCAGGAGCTCTAGGCAGCAGAGGAGGCTGCAACCCTGGCCAGAATCCTTAGGGATTGCTACTCAGTGGGGCTGGAGGACCAGCAGCGGCACGGCCCCTGGGGAGCTGGCTAGCAGGCGAATCTCGGGGTCTCGGGCCCAGCCCCGGAACTGAGAAATCCGAATCTGCGTTCTGAGCGGACCCCCAGGTGAAGTGCCTGCACGAACCAGCTGGGGAGGCGGGGCTGAGCAGGTGCAGACCTCAGACCTCTGCCCCGCCAGTCCCACTCCTCCCACCCACTTAGGGAAGATTCTGGGGCCTTCTGGATGGAGTGGTGGGGGTGGGGTAACAGGGCACACAGGGGGCTGCTGGACCACAGTCTACTGGGAAGGCTTTAGGGAAATGTGAAGGCCTCAGGAATCTGCTAGGATCCACTTCCTGCCTGGCCTGAGGCCTCACTCCCTGTCGCTTCCTGCCCCTCCCCCAATCCCCCAACTGACTCCCTGGCAGTCTCTGAATTTTACATCCTGCTTACCCATTCAACCCTTTCCTGAAAAAGCGATCTCAACGTGAATGAACTGCTGTAATAAGGTCCACACTTGTGTGTGAACACAGAGTAACCACACCGTGGTAAGGGAATAATTCAACAGAATCAAAAAGCTCTGTACCTGAAGAGACTTCGCAGGGCTGTCTATGAAAGCAAAAAATTAGAAAGAGCCCAAATACTTGGAAATAGGACAGCAGTTAGTAAATGACAGTAAATTACCCTACATCAATCTAATGGACCCCTAGGCAGGCCTTAAAAAGAATAATTATGATGAAGCTATTGGATCAACTTGGTGGTATCACATGTTCCAGGGCCTTCGAGGCTGAGGGGTTTGGAACACCAGGTTTGTGATTTAGTAGGAGTTGGAAAAATAACCTGATCTCTGAGGCTAAATGCATCCGTAAAACGGAGATAATGATACTTACCTGCCAATGTTACTGAGAGGATAAAACGGTATCATATGTCTAGAGGTCCTAGCCTTTTGGTAGCCAAAAATTCATTTCTGTTATTTATTTATTTATTTGTTTGTTTGTTTGTTTGTTTGGAGATGGGGTCTCACTCTGTCCCCCAGGCTAGAGTACAGTGGCGCCATCATAGCTCGCTGCAGCCTCGAACCTGAACTCCTGGCCTCAAGGGAGTTTCCCACCTCAGCCTCTCTAGTAGCTAAGGCTACAGGTGGGTCTTGCTATGTTGCCCAGGCTGACCTCAAACTCTTGGCCTCAAGTGATCCTCCCACCTTGGCCTCCCAAAGTGCCCAGATTACAGGCATACACCCCCGTGCCCAGCATTCCTATTTCTTAAGCAAGGCACGAAGGGATGTGTCCCTCATGGTGACAGGCACACTGAAACTTACACAATAGTGTCTACAGGAATGAGGGTTCGAGGCTTAGAAAAAAATGAAGATGCCACTGTGGTAGAGTTATAGGGGATATCGAATTTTTTCTTCTCCTTCTTGTAGACTTTAAATGCAGAGGGTTAAGTGAATCTTCCTCCTGAATTCAGGGCAAGTTACCATTGACCTTCCCTGTTTCCCGTCCTCCCTCCATTTCTTCCTTTCTTCCTTCTCTTTCGTCCCTGCTACCTGGCCCTATTTTCTTCCCTCTCCGCAGGCAACTACTCTGAGTTGTTTAATTTTTTCTCTGAACAGATTCTCGATGAAAATATGTATCACTGGTGTTGTTTTAAATTTTATTGTGGAAATTTTAATATTCAGGCAAAAGTAGAGACAATAGTGCAATGAATCCCAATACACTCATCTGTCAGATTCAAAAATTATCATGATTTTGCCTTGAAATCTTGCTTAGATCTTTGCCTAAAATACATTTGCTTTATCTTCCTGTCTTTTCCTTTTGCTGAAAGAAATATTTTATTTTATTTTTTTTCCTAGAGAGAATGAGAGTGAAGAAAGAAATATTTTATTTTATTTTTTTATTTTTTATTTTTTTTTTTGAGACAGAGTCTCACTGTGTTGCCCCGGCTAGAGTGCCGTGGCATCAGCCTAGCTCACAGCAACCTCAAATTCCTGGGCTCAAGCGATCCTCCTGCCTCAGCCTCCCGAGTAGCTGGGACTACAGGCATGCGCCACCATGCCCGGCTAATTTTTTCTATATATTTTTAGTTGTCCA